AGAGAGAGAGAGAGAGATGAACAGTGACTTGCTGATAGAGTAACACTGCTAGAGATCCGCCTCCACCCTCTAGTGATTCCATGCCAGCTGTGGTGTTGCGCCACTCTCGCCGAACACCACAGGACACAAGACACGGTTTAATGTGACAAGGGCTGCTCCTCTCCTGCTAAAAACACCACCAGGGAATACCAGCTTTAATCTACTTCGACTGTCAGTGACAGATGAGGAGTTATTATGTTGTTTAGCATGTTATTTCTCTTAGAGGGAAATGACTCAACAGCTCTGATTTCATGCTCGTCTGGCCGTCACAATAAAGAAATATCGCTAATGAGTCATTATCAACACCTTCAAATACCATATTCTTCTGTCTGAGCAAGACAGCAGATGATGTGATCTGGAAAAGGGCATCACTACTGATTTGACAGACAGCTAGATTCAAGCGCAAGGAGTGGTACACCTGTATCAAGTAGCTGAACTTTCCTACCGGCCCCTTCATTTTAAGTTTTTTTTTTTAAAAATGCTTTCTTGAGTAAAAATCCTGGTGAATTTTCCAACAGTTTACTCAGCTCTGAATAAGAATTAAGACTTTGTGTCGTGTAACTAAAGCAACCCAAGCCAAGACTTTCTAATGAGTCAGAGTCAGAGTGAGTGAGTGTGTGTGTTTGTGTGAGTCACCGCTTATTTGAATAAGTACCCAGAGACCCAGACAAACGGAAAAAGGCATTGTGATTGGAAGGCACACTTGATCGAGGAGATCAAGTGTGCCTTCCAATTCACCGCTGTTGCAACAAAAAAAAAGTGCTTTCACAAGCGCGTAAAAAAGCTCTAAGGTATAGTATGCCCTGTCCACCCACAGCGTGACGTTTTATTAGATCGCTTACCTGTGTATAGTAGGACATTGAGACTGATAGATCTTACACACAAGGCTCGTGGGATTTTAAGCAGCTGCTTTCAGAGGAGAAAGATATATTTTCTCTGATCAAATCACAGTCATGGGTTGATAGATGGAAGAGGGCGCGTTTTCTTTAATCCCACACTTCATGGAGCTTTATTTTACACAGCCAGTGTCAAGTCTTTGCTTTCCAAGAGCCTCTGTCCATATTTCACATTTTCCCCTGAGGTGTTCTCTAATTCACACATGAAAAGTAACATGAAAAGGTGAAAATGTCTTTGTGACTATTCACAGTTCACATGCGCAAGAAAATCCATTGATCTCACTACCAGGGTGGACTTTGGGAAGTGTCGTTCTCTGGCACAAGCAAACTGAAACCATGCAAGGGCTTTGGTGATTTAGTGATTAAACACATTCCAAGCATATTTGAGGTTAAAACAGCACATTTATACCAGTATCTAACTCTTTAATCCATACTAATGTTGAGTGAGTTGGCCATTGAGGGTATTTGGGACACCATGTGACACCACCTTCTTCTAATCTAGGAGCTAGGCACAGAGGTTGATACTGTTGGCCGGCGATGACGGAAACAGAGTGAAGAGGTCAAAACAGCAAGAAAACCCCTTCTCACTTGATGTACAGTCCCCTCAGCACGTGATCCACCATGTGCTTGCGAAGAGCAGGAACACACACTGAGGAAAAATGTGGCACACATATGACAAATACACAAACCAATCCACATGAGTGTATGTGGGCACACACATCAAACGACACATCAAATTAGCGTGTCCATACTGCCCTAGCCTAACCGCTCTATAACTGGTCACAGTTACACAAGAGGGCGATTAATATGAACTCTATTTTTTCTCTGTATGCTAGGAGTGAAGTGTAATAATGAACCCCCCAGGAGACGCAGACACTGATGGCTCACCATCTAATTGCACTGCTTTTTTCATCAGCGCAGTACACGACCTCTCCCTGTATGAAACCCACGCGCCCCGTTCACCACCACCGCACACCAGAGATTCTTCTTTTCCCATCTCTCTCTGTTTCCTGCACCGCTTTCATCTCTCCCAGTTCAACTGTCGCTTTCTTTCCATTTTTTCAGTCCCCCTCCTTTCTTATTCGGTCGTTAGCCCCCTTTATTCCTCTCTATCTTTGTTTCTATCCTCGACTCAGCGTCTGTCTGTCTGCGTCTCTCTGCACTAACCACCCCCCCACACCCCCAACCCACCCTCCAC